TGTAATAAGGCCGTAGGTCATTGTAACATGTTTAAAATATCATATTACACTTGCGTGTATGTTCACATCATCACACATTAGCTTATAATGCAAATTGATCATGTCATGGGGGATTCAAATAAGACTTAGGATCCTTTCTTCATTTTTGGTGCACAACAGGTTCATATGCACCTTTTCGAGCCATTTCGGTCGACCGAAATGCCAGTTCGGTCGACCGATTCCCCTTATGGTTTCATTTGAACAGTGAAAATCTTAATTCCAGTAGCCTTTTTTCAATTCGAGGCTTATTTCAGTCGACCGGTGTGTCACTTCGGTCGACCGAACTGTAATACCCCTAAATTTACAAAGGATAGTTCTAGAATTTCATTAATTCTTTTTACTTGCATTATTTGATTGTTTAATTGCATTAATTAGTGTTATGTGTTTTATTTGTAATTTAATTGCATTATTTGATTTATTTGTTGGATTAATGTGATTACTTGTTTAATGGTATAAATAAATTGAATTAATTATTTTGTGGCATTTAATGTTTTCATTACCTGAATTTTATTTGAAGAATTTAATTAAATGTAATTGTTTGCTAATTTAACGTGACTGTAGGGTTGGTTGCACATATATAGTTTTCATAGGCAGCCGACATTGTTTTACCTAGGTTTGCCTATGGGCCGAATTATACATGAATTAGGGTTTAATGTCTAAGTTTATAAATAGGTGTATTACAGTGGTTTAGGGTTTAAAAGAAACAACAAAACAAAAACGTAAGTTTCTGTGTGGAGGCATAGAGGTAACAGAGATTTGTGAGAGAATTGAACGATAGAAAATAGAACAAGGCTTAGGAGGAGAATAGAGAGGACCAAGGGTGAGTAGTGGTGGATTAAACCAAAACCATAGGAGGTTTGAAGGTGGTCAGGGGTTGCTGGAAATTAGGAAGACGGCGATACAGTTTTGAAACCAAAACAACAGGCAAGTTATTCTCTTTCTCTTTCTGTTTGGCTCGTGTTCTGTGCACATAGATAATCTCTAGGGTTTAATCAATCAGTAACTGGAATTTACATGTTTAATATATGTTATATTAATGATCTGTTTGTGTTAAAATAAAACTGTTACAATTTCTACATGTCTCGTTCCAGTTGTTTTTCTATAAGCATGTTAACTCTGTTGTAACTTTAGACTTTGTAATTGATTTCAACTACTGCAAATGAACCATGGGGATGTTACTGGGATGAGATAAGATCCTTAAGTTCAATGGTGAAGTGGAACAGAGGGGTTGGAATAGAACTGAAATTTCTTAAATTAGTTTCAGTGTTGTTTTTCAAGCATGCTAGTTTAATGGCTTTGTTTAATCTCTGTAATTGATTTCAAATTATTGTAAACAAATCGTGGGGATGATTTTAGGCTTAAATAAAACTCCTAAGATCAGTTTTAAAAACCAACAAAGTGATAGGAATAAGCCGGAGAAGGAGCAGAGAAGCTAAAACGAAGCACCGGGGACTGAAAGCTCTCAAAAGAGGTGAGAGCCAGCGCCATAGAAGTGGGAGCCGGCTCCCACACATGTAGAGCCATCTCTAAGACTTCTAGAGCCGGCTCTAGGCTCAAAAGAGCCTGCGCTTCAAAAATTAGAGCAGGCTCCCTTCAGTTTATGCATTTTGTTATTTGTTTTTACGAACTGTTTGTACTGTTAAGCATGGAAACTGTTCCTAATGGGCCTGGGTCTTCACAGAGGGACTAAGAAGTTGTTTCTGGGTGTTATTAAGACCCTAAATTAATTAAAGTTTAATTCTAAATTGTTGGGATTAATAGTATATAGTTAATTAATGTTCTATATTATTAACGGATGGAAGACAAGATAATTACTTAATTAAATTTCAGCAATTAAATGGGATTTAATGTGTTTATAAAACTTATTTTAAATGCATGGTGAAGTCTTTTAATTAACAAATTGGACTTGTAGCATAGTGCAGGGCTCTGTTTTAAAAGATAAAACAGAATACTAGTCTACAACTTAGTACGCTGTTACCAGATAGAAAGAACTAAGCTGCTTAAATTAATTTAGCAATTTATTGGACTATAATATGATTATAGAATTCATTTTAAATGCATGATAGAGTCATTGATATATTAGATTTGATCTATGCCTGCTCTGGATGCTAGTTGTTGAACTATTAAACCATTTCCAGCAATTACGTGGTTTAATTCTTGGATTTAAATTACTGAACTTTAAACACTTTTCTGCAATGATTTGGATATTGGTTTTAGACTGTAAATTACTAGCTTATTATTTATGTTTTGTAATTTACATGGATATGGAAGATTGTATGCACCGATATGGGACGGTGACATACTGAGGACGGTTTAGCTCAAAACACTTAAACCTACCCTAATGGATTAAAGGATGGATTGGAAAATATTGAATCCTAATTGTGATTAAGTCAGATCAACTGCGACTAAGTTGAATGGCTTCCTAGATTAATGGATGGTAGTTAAGTCATATCAACTGAAAAAGTTGAGAGACTAACTAGTTTGTTTATTGTATGTCAGTTCAATAAATATTTGAACTACATACCCTAGTTTTGGACGGACTTTATATATATGTTTATGGTACCACGAGAAGAGCTTGAGTCTCAGACTCGTTGGTTAGGGTGCGTATATATAGTGGATGCGTAGCTGGTTATAATAGGTTGAGGTGTACCTTGTTAGGTCTAGGTACTCATGCCCACCTTTGGGTACGTTTTGGCATGTTGCATTCTATTTAGGTTGAGAACCCTATTATAGACTAGTGAATGTCCCTTAGTGTGGATATATTTATATGTATGGACTAGATAGATATTGTGAAGTGTCTACGGTGTATCTGCGTATCGGGGTCACTGTATGGATTGCAGTTAGATTAGAACTTGCTCGTGGGCCTGACCCACTCTTCTATTATTTTTTTCAGGTGCAGGATGGTTCCAGCCTTAGAGCTTGATCGTGCTTATCGAGGACAGTCTCTCATTCATCTACTTATGTAGGACTTCTCTCGATGATTCTAGTTTGATATCTTCATTTCCAGTTTTGTTGAGATTTTCTTTAGGGGTCCACTATTTGGATTCCCAAGTTGTAACCTTGAAGGTTTTGGAGGATTGAATTAATATTATTTATCGTTGGAGGATCTTATTTTTTTTTTCTTTTGGTTTTCTTTATTTAAATTCTTAATTTTCTATTCTGTGTTCGATTTAATTGTTTGATATCCCTCGGGTTCGGGCCTGGGCCTGATCAACCAGTGTCTCGGATCCGAGGGGTATCACAAGAACTGGGAGCTCATTTCTCCTCTTTTCCTGGCTTATTTTGGCACACTGATGCTCCATTTTGATCGACCGAAATGGAGCTGTCTTGTGGGTCTTGTTTGGTTCGTTCATTCCCACTTGACCTTAAGCCATTTAATGGTGTACGTGATTTAGTTTGAACTAGATCTCGATCCTTCGGTTGTCATTGGAGCCATAGGGTACCATTTAACCTTTTTATCCTAGTCTCCGCTTCCGGTGATTTCCTTGAGTTTCATGACTTCATAGGAAGTCACTTTGGTGTCCTAGGGATGGTTTGTATCTCTAGAGACCTAGGTTTGTCTTTTGCTTCCGCATTAGTTCTCATTGAGTTCCATGACCTCATGGAAGGTCATTAAAGTGTCTTAGAAGTGTGTAGTGCCTTGGGAGACCATTGTCTTGTTTCTTACTTCCGCATCTGGATCCGTTATCAAGTCAATCCTCGGTTCATCACTGACCCACCGGGTTGAATCAAAACCCGGGTCGTTACATGATGAATAGGTGCCCTATCTTGAGCTTGAAGAAGAAGAAGGAATGACCAGGGTAGCCTACTAATATAGGTTTGATTCCGGGGACTTAGCGAAAGAAGATAGAAGGTTGCTTGCTATAAGGATGTTTTCCGTACCTCACCCTAAAAAAACAACGATAATGTTGAGAGTTTTAGAGCATCCAGAATGGACTGACCATCAATAAAAAATAAAAAAAACAATAACTTCTAATTTTTAAAATATTAATGTGGTGTTAGGTTTGGGTCTAACCGATAGACTTGGATTTAAATTCAACTTAAACTTCAGCAATTAACATTTTACTAATAATAATATTATCATCAAAACTAGTATAAGTTGGTTTAGAGTTAGGTTTTAGATTATTTCAAAGGGTAAAGTGCTAAAAATCTCTTTGTATTTTTGAATTTCTAAGTATATTTTGTGCATAATACTTTTTGAAGTATCATATTTTGTTGAAAAATGTCCCAATGACTAGATCATTTTTTATTAAATGACCATAACATCATTTCTTATTGAATTACACTTTATCTATTTTTCTTATTGAAATAAATTATGAAAAGAAGTTATAACAATTTAATGACATATTCTCGATTAAATTTGCATAAATTTACCTTTAATTTTTTAAAATTAATTATTTAAATAATATTCATGCCATGAAATTAAGAATATAAATTCAGTAACCCAAGCAAGATGCCCAAATAAGAACATCCACACCCAAACAGATAAACTATAAATCTTAAGTAGAAAATTTTATTACAATTTATTTAATTTTTTATGAATATATTGCTTGAAAAAGAAGATTTTTTTAATTTAAATAATTTATTCATTTTTCATTAATATATTGTGTGAAAAGGGAAGATATTTTCTATGGTAAAAAAAATAAAAAAGGATAAATTTTTGCATTAAATATGGTGAAGTGTGCACAAGGGTTCGGATTAACGATGCTCGTGATAGACTTAAGTGATTACGTTATCTTGCATCGTACGGTTCTGATGGAGCCATGCCAAGAGGACCCTTTTACCCTTATTGTGGGTCCTATATTTTGATGCTGGCGAAATTCCATTAGTTCCCAGAACGTTCTCTGTCCACACAAACAGCCAAAACAAACTGTTAACGTAGCCGCTGCGTGGAATATTCCAGAAAAAGAATACGAAACCCTAACCCTAGAGGACACCCTCACACGCTTCGCACGTGACACGCCACTCAGATCAAGCATAGGTATACAGAGCGCCGCAAAGGCCTATTAACACAACAAATACGAGTTGCTCTCACTAACACCGTCCGATCTCACGCCACGTCATGGATCCGCCCCCAATTCTTCATTCAACGGCTCAGATCAACTCTCTGCAAGAGCTACTCGCCTGAACGAAGAAGCTCCTCTAGTCCCTCCTCTACTCTGTCCCCCCTCCTCGTTTTTCAAATTTCTGATTTTTGATTTTTTGGTTTTAATTTTTGGAAAACTTTCTCGGATTTTCTCGGGAAAATTTTGGTGAAGATGAAAATCATGGAGGAAGAGAGGGATTTCGAAGGAGAGGAAGGAGTTAGGGCTGTGAATGGTGGAATTGACGAGGATGAAGTTGATAGTGAAGTGGAGAGCGATACTGAGAAGAGCGATGGTGTTGAAGTGGTGGATGGAGAGGACGAGGACGATGATGGTGATGACGATGACGACGACGACGATGAGGAGGAGGAGGATGAGCCAGAGGAGTTGCACAACTCCGGTGGCCCGCCGGTTCAGTCGGTAGATGACGACGACGAGGACGATGACGACGATGACGATGATGATGACGACGACGATGACGGTGAGGGCGATGACGACGACGACGACGACGACGGTGAGGGGAACGACGACGAGGATGACGAGGAAGTCGAAGGAGAGGTGAGTTTTTATTACCTAATTTGACTTATACGGTTGAAAATCAGTTCAATTTTAGTATTATATTTTGTAATTTTGTTAGATTATATGTTGAAATTGTTCAAATCTGGTCACATATATTTGGTTTGAGTTCTGTTGAAAATTGAAAATTCTAACCATTTTATCTCCTTTCAGATCTATTTATTTTGATTCTGTGTTGAAATTGCTGAAATCTAGGGTTCTCTCTCTTTCCTGATATTTTCTATAGAAACAAACGGAGCCAAGGTTGTTCTTTTGCTAGTGCTTTCCTCTTCTTCTTGCTTTAAATGAACTGATTTTAAAGTATGTTTCTCTCTGTAATTTTACCTGATCTGTTTCTCTCTGTACTTCTTTTGCTTTAAATGTCTTCTAGAACAGATATAACTCTTCAGGTGTTTTCACTTTTCAGAGGTAAAAATGGTATGATTCACAAAGTCTTGAATCTCACATCTTATATTTCATATGTATGTATGTCTTGCCTCAATTAGGGTATAATTCTGTTTCTTACTGGTTGTGTTTGATTTGAGCAGTTCTTGTTTGGTACTCCAAAATATTAGGGATCCATTGTAAGCATATGCATATCCTAATACATATTGTGCTGATTAGCTTTGGTTTGTTTGTGGGAGAAAAAAAGTGGTACCCTACTATATGCTCTGCTGATTAGCCTTGGTTTGTTTGCTGGGGGAGAACCTACTGGTTTCGGGTAGTTTCAAATTAGCTGAGTTGGTATATTTTCTTCCTCGAATTGTTCTGGTTGCATGACAGCTTCTCTTTATTTTGTGCCGGCTGTTTAATAAACAAAGACGTCATATTTTCTAATTGATGATGCAAAATTATCCGTGAAGTTAGAACTACCATAGAAGAGGAACTATTTACTCAATTTCCTGTTTGTAGTTATGAATGACTTCTGCAAGCCAAATAGAAGAGCCACTTGATTTGTTTAATTGGTGTATACCTAAGATGATACGTTGTTGTTGTTATTGTTATTACTGGTTTGTTTAATTAAATTTTTTGTAATGCCACTTGATTTATGCAAATGATGCTAAATCGTAAGCGAGTTAAATGGTTAACTTAGGATGCATTTGATTTGATTGAATTTTTTTGTGAAGTTTTTTTAAATGTTTTTTATTTAAATTTTTGTGTGCGGTTTTATTTATTAAATTTTAAACCCAAGTAGTAGAGCAATGATTAATTTCCTCCATCACAGTAAACTGTCCATTGAGCTAAGTGGAGCTTTTAATAGAATGTTTGCCCTTAAAACTCTGGGAACTATTTTCCATTGAATAATAGAGCATCAGTTTGATTAGAAATGGTCTTGCTTAAGACTCATGATTATATTGTTTATTGCGTCTCTATTTCTTTTGTGCCTCTCTTCTTTCCCCCTTTTTCATCACCATTAGATAATTCAATAATCAGAATGGATCCACCAATCTATTTCCTTTTAGGTTTTGTGACTTGCTGATTTTTGTCATTCTCTATATGTTTCTTTATTCCTTTTTCAGGGTCATGAAAGTTTATTTTACTCTTCTTTGTAGAACGGTAAGGGTTTAATGTTTCAGTTTTATTCTCTTTATATATTTCATAGATTTCATGATGTTGGAAGGGTCAGAGTATTTGTGCACTTATTAGTGTCTTTCGCTAGCATGAGTCTTCACCTATCCTAAATTGACTCAAGAAGCTAACAATCAGGTAGCCTCACAACCATGGTGGTCCCGTTATCTAATCATGAGGGGCAGAATAGAACAATTTTCATTTATTTTGCTGCCTAATTTCCTGATCTTAACACGGGAATACCATGGATAGGGATTCACCTGATATTTCTTTTTTTGCTGAGTCTCTAAAGACCAACTGATCTTGAGCATCTCAAGGTTCCTAATTTGGTTAGGTTTATGTGCTGTGTGATAGACATCCTCGATGCAGAATCATGAACATCCTAATTTGGTTAACTTGTTACAGAGCAATCATGAATTATCAATTATATGGTATTAACACAATAACATCATGGTTTTGTTGCCAAGTGTCTAAATGCCACTTGATCTTGAGCATCTCAAGGTCCCTTATTTGGTTAGGTTTAGGTTTTGTTTAATATCCTCAATGCATAAACAGTAAAATTGTTGCAAAACAAATACTGGTTGTTGAATTGCCATATTATTTTTATGCTGGTTTCTTGCTATGCTTAAGCAAGTATTTGATTTTCTGGTTTATTAGTCGGTGCTCGTGTTCTATCAACTCATGATTTATCTTTCTTCCAAATGGAACTTAATCCAGCTAATGGTTGTTTCATGTTTACCTTCTTTTCTATGATCATGCGTGAATTTGGCATTCAGTAGTTAAAAGTGAGGTACATCTTTTTCTATTGGAGAGTTTAATTTTAACATGCTTGCATCACAACAACTGTTTTTTCCTTTCCTTAAAGCTTACATCAGAAGAATTTCTCTTTCTTGCTGATTTTCCATAATTATTTTTGTACTGTTATAACAATCTCTTTTCTACAAGTTGATGCTGACATCTTACCCATAAACGACTAATGTAGGAGGACATGGGAACCGAGTACCTTGTCCGACCAGTAGGTCTAGCTGAAGAAGAGGAAGACGCCAGTGACTTTGAACCACAAGAGAATGGCGAGGAAGAAGATTTTGAGGAAGATGAGGATGACAGTGATGACAATGCTGGCGGGAAGGTCGAGGCTCCACCAAAGAGGAAGAGATCAGACAAAGACGACTCTGGTGACGATGACGGCGGAGAGGATGATGAGAGACCATCAAAACGGTAGGGCTGGGCCCCTTCTTGTGCTGAAGTCTGACCGTTGACACATAGGTCAATCCCGCCCTCTCTCTCTCTCTCTCTCTCTCAAATACATCTTTGTAGAAAAAGGAGGATAGGATAGCATGCTTCATGCTCGCTGCTCTGCCTTCCTATAACATCATCATGTTGCAGTATTGTTAGTGTTAGAATTGTCGTCATATTGGAAATGCATAGTTCATATGGATTTTCGGAACTATTTGGAACAGTTTGATTAGGCTTCTCTGTAATGTATGGTGTTAGGTAAATTTGAGTTTTTCAAGTCTCTTAGGTTAATGCAGGAATCCTAGGCAGCAGGGTCTTTGTGGTCTTTCCAGTCTGTTGGATTGTTATAAGATATTGTTGTTTTATATATTAATTCTCTCTTTCTTCAATTTATGAGGAATGACGGTGGGGCTAATGATTTATTTTTATTTTTATTTTTTATTTTGTGTATATGCTTTTGTTATGTATTTTTCTACATTTTAAGGACTTATTTGGTATTCGTTTTGTTTTTGGCGTTTTGTTTTAATCTGAAACTATTTATACCATAATTATCTTCCAATTGGATAGGTTGTTGTGGCTGACCCCAATGGAAAGGGGAGCCTTTCTTATTGGAAGGGTGATATGCAAATAAGGTGCAATCATGAAGCAACACGTGGCTTCATCAAATGAATTCATTTGGAACAAATAACTGCATAGGGACACGTGGTAGACAGAATAAAGTAGTTTCTTGCAAGTTAGAGGCAGTTAGGAGATCGTGTTCATTTCATTTGGCAGTTTCAGAACGTGACTAGAAACCTTCAATTGGAATTGAACCACCAAAATCACTCATTCTAAGATGCAATTTATGGGACATCGTGTTCTTACACGTGTCAATATTGTGAGAAGACTAAGGGAGACATGAGACACGTGGCAAAAATTAGACATTCCACTTGGTACAAATCGGACGTTCCACTTGGAAGCATCTTAATAATAGATGGAACTGCCACCGACTATAAATAGAAGACTTTGACATAATAAAAAGAGATCTCCACACAAATCAAACAACTCATATTTTTATTTACACTTCATTTCAGTTCATGCACTTTATGTTTCTTATAGTGTAATTTTACTTTCAAGCACTTTAATTTTAGCACATATATTTCAATTCCTTTAATTTCCATCATTTTTACTTTAGTTCCTAGTTTAATGAATTTCAGACTTTCAATTCAGTTCCTTTCAATATTCCAGCAGCACTTTCACCAAGCATTTTCATCTTTTTCCATTCCACATTTTCATTTCCGAAGTCCTTTTCCACAAGGGCGAAAATAACTTAGCAAGAGCGGTCATTCCAAGCTCTTCACAATCGCCTGATGTTCAAGTCTCCCGAGGCCAGATTTGGAATATAGTTTAGCGTTATTCCATCTTCATTGGATTCTTGGCGAATCTTGGCACACCTGCACCTTCCACCTTTCCACTTAGAACAGACGGAATTTTTGTGGCCAAACAGAAACAAATTAAGTGTTTTGTTGTAAAATGTTTTGAATAATAATCGAAAGCATGTATGATAACATTTATTTGTTGCAGGATTTTTTTTATTATTTTTTTTAAATCTATATTTAAAAAATATAGTAGCTAGTTTAAAAGTGTATAAAAACACCAAATTAATGTTTCATTTTTTGGCAACTATTTACAAAATAGAAACATCAAAAATAAATTGCATACCAAAAAAACCCTAAATGTATGGAACTTGATGAAAATTTTGAAAGGAATTGCACTTGAGTCGATATAAATTTTATGTAAGTTTTATTTATCAAATAGTTTTAAGCTCTTTTCAGACTTTTTATCAATTTAATCAATTAATCTCGTCCCATTTTGGAGTTGAGATAGATTCCTATACAAATCTGAATAAAATTAAGATAGATATTTTTATAGAAATATAAAAATAAATTAAGAATAATAATATCATTTCACATTAAAAGTGTAGTTCATTTTTTCACCTCCCAAAATAAATTGTGATTGATTTTGCGGAGTCAGTTACGGGAGGGGTTGGAAATGAGCATCAAATGAGCATTAGTTTAGATAAGGTGATCTTTTCTTTTCGAAGGAGATGTTGAGCTTAGTTCAAATAACCTGACCTGACCATTTCCTTTCCAAAAGAGATGGTGAGTGCTTGAGTTAGATGCAATGTTGAAAGTGTATGTGAGTTTCTTTGAATTTTTTAAATTGAATGTTAGAACAATTTTTTTTTTTTTTTCCCTCTTATAATACGTAGTCATAATATATGCACCTTTTAAGTTAGAAGTGTGGTTCGAAAGCAAGACTTCAAAAACTTAACATCTAAATCTCTGTCAACACCGCTATGCTCTTGAAAGGGCAGGCCCTGGCCCAAGGCGGTCGCCTAGGGCCTCAAAATTTTTAGGCCTATTAGCAATTGGTTAAAAAAAAAAAAAAAAAACAAACCTAGGCCCTTACCATGAGTGATAGGCCCAAATAAAAAAGGGTAAAGCATAGAGACACCCCAAGAGATTTGGGAAAAGGCCATGCAGAGGAAAGTTAGCCAATTTTTGAACAATGACACCCCTTCAAGTTTAAAAAATGGACAAAAAGACCCTAAAGATGGTGAATTGACCTTATTACCCTTTGATATAAAATTAACATTTTAATTGACTTAAATACCCTTGAATTAAACCCAAACCCAAACCCAAACCCAAACCCATCACAAACCCTAACCTGAACGCTTGTGTAAAATACCCCTCTTCCCTTTTCTCTCTGTATCGCCGTTCGAGTCCTCTGTTCCGAAATCCAACAGCGATTCGAAGCCTTAGGATCTCGGAGCTGATACGGACTACATCTTTGTTGGTTTTCTTTGCATCATCGGAATCGTGGTTGTTCATCACCGGATAGTTTGATTATCGTTGCCGTCGTCCGGTCCGCTTCTCTTCGTCGTCGCTGGAATTGGAAGTGGAAGGTCACAAATCGCGCCTCTGTGTGTGTGTGCGTGTGTGTGTACATTAGATAGATAGAACAAAAATGGTAGGTTAAAGATGCTAAAAGGAGAGTTTAATGGGTCTTACATTTCACACAGGGCTTTTGCCTCGAACGATTTGGGGATTTCGTGGTTATGGTGATATTGATGATTTAGGGTTTCGGTGATTATGAGAGGTGAGATGCTACGGTGAAGGGGTCGAGATGGTTGTTTTGTATGGTGGGTGAGAAGTGGAGGTGCCGATTGTGGGTGGTAGTGGTGAAGGGGTGGAGGTGCTAATTGTGGGTGGTAGTGGTGAAGTGGTGGAGATGGTTGTTTTGTACGGTGGGTGAGCAGTGGTGGAGGTGCTGATTATGGGTGGTGGTAGGAGGTTAGAGAGAGATGAGAGGACTGGTGGTGGCGGCAGCCATGATGGTCATGGTGGTGGTAGGTGGTTTCAGGTTCAATCTTAGCGACATTGGTTGGCTTGAGTCTGAGTCCGCCTTCTCGATGAGGAGGAGAATTGTGGGCTTGGTGTCAGATTCCAGTTGATAATTTGATGGATCGCTGTCGATGACAGCTAACGCAATACTAGCGGTGTAGAAAACGAAGAGTAAGAAAATAACGGATCTATTGTCCAAGGCTGAGTTTGCCCGAACCGAGGCCGAGCTCTGGCGAGGTCGCAGGGGTGGCAATGGCAGAGCTCCGGCAAGGTTGAGGTTGGGGTGGTGGTCACTGTGGTTGTTTGTGTGTGTGTGTGTGTGTGTGTATATATATATATATATATATTTATTTATTTATGAAAAGGGTATTTTGGTCATTTAAATATTTTGATATTTTATAATTAAAATAAATAAAATAATGAAAGCTAAAGTGGACTTTTTACATATTTTAAGGCTCTATTTAGATGACAAATATCACAAGGGGGTGTGGTTGTCCAAAATAAGCCAACTTTCCTCTGCATATCCTTTCCCCAAACCTCAGGGGGTGTCTCTGTATTTTGCCCAAAAAGAAAAAAAACTTAGGCCCCTTTTCATGAGTGATAGGCCCAAAGAAATAAATAAAAACTTAGAGCCATTCGGCCTTTATTACTTTATGTGTATGTTAGCGTGTATTTCAGTAATTAAAGGGTCTCACATTTAAGTTCGCCTCTCAAAATTTTGTCAATTTCAGGGTTGGCCCGGTGATTGAAGACAATTAAATGTTAGAACTTGCCAGAGACGAAAGTGCACATGTGCATGAGCAATGCCATTAATGCATAACCATCATGATAAAAACCAAAGCTTTCTACATTTAATCAAAGATGTAATGCTATTAATACAACGCCATCATGATAAGACTCAAAGCTCTCTTAATCAAAGATGTATTAAATAATTTATTTAACTTTGTTAATAAGTTAGTCATAGGGCTGCAACTTGGGCTGGGCCAGCCCGAATTTACCCAAGCCTAGCCCCAAATTTTCAAGGCTTGGGCAGTATTTTTCTGTTCTAAGTTTGGGTTTGGGCTAGATATTCTGAGCCCGAATTAAATTCGGGCTGAGCTTGGGTTGATATTATATAAAGCCCGAAGCCCAGCCCGAGCCCGAGCCCGAACCCGAGCCTTAGCCCGAAAAGGGTATATTTATTTTAAAATTATATTATTTTACAAGTGTATAATAGCTTAGTTGGTAGTGTGTTTGGAATTTTTTTTGGAGGAATGTTGTTCGAGTTCTTGTAGCGGTACAAATTTCTTATTTTTTACATTCTGAATACAGAGGCGTGGGCTCATGGGCGGGCTTGGGTTGGAGAAGTTAATTAGTGGCTGGGATTAGGCTTTAGGCGGGCTCGAGTTGGGATTGGGCAAAAGATTTTGTACATGGGCTGAACCCGAATTAAGTCTCCAACCCGCCCGAGTTGCAATCCTAGTTAGTCATGTTATTAGTCCGACCGAAGTAGAAAATTTGACCTTTAAGTCTCCAATAAAGGCAAAAATGTGTGATTTTTTTTTTTCAATAAGAATAATAATAATAATAATGATAATAATAATATTGGATGAGTGGACGCATACAATGTTAATGATATGTAGGGATGACAATTTATTCCGCATGAATAGGTACCCGCCCCACCTCTTTTAAGCCGGTTATTGGGGCTCATTTATGAAATTTTGGTAGGGATGGGTTTGAGGAGAGAAAGCCCGTGCGGGTTTGGGGCAGGGGAAGGGTGCCCCGCCCTGTTTAGGTTGCTAATTATATTAATTTATTATATATATATATATATATAACACTATAATAATGGAACCCTAAATATTTTGTTTCCAATTTACAGCCATTTCAAGAAAGATTAGCTTCTCCTGTGCATTAATTTGGGATTATCTTATAATGGAATGATTCAAATGAGAGTGTATTTGAACAAAATAAAAAAGCAGAGAAATTTTTTAAGTGATGGCTTAAACGGGTGGAGCGGGTGTTCGGGGCGGAGAGTACCTCGTTTATTCAATTTTGGGTGAGAAAAATTAAACGGAGCAGGGCAGAGTATCCAAACTGCCATCCCTAATATGTGTCTGTTACTTAAAATGTTTTATACTACAACCTCAATGATGCATACGGATTGATTGCGAATTAAATTTTTTTATACAACAATCTCAATGATGTATACTGATTGAGTGCATACTAATGAACATGTGCCCGAGTAGACTAATATTTTTGATAAAAGCTTTGAAATTTTTATATTTAATAACGAAATTGAGATTTTTTTTAAAAAATATACTACTTCTTTCGTATTAAAATAAGTATAAATAGGTGTTCACTTGACTTTTTTAAATAATATATTTTACATCTTTTTATATACGTGTTTTGAGTTTTAAATTTTCAAACTTGAATATTCAAAACTTAAAATGGTAATTTAATAACGTTCTGAGTGGATAATGCATAAGGAGGCAATGCATGTCCCGTATGTCTCTTTAAAAGTTATTATTTCTCAAATACGATACTTAAATTGGGATGTAAAAAATATAAAAAATCAATGAATCATTTTATATTTTTTTGAAATTAATAATTAAATATAAAACTTATAACTTTTAAAATCCTAATTCAATACTTAAATGAAGAAATTTGATGACTCTTGTCCATAGATATTATTAGTGTCCAATTGTAGACATGAAAAGGACGGGAATTGGAAAATGACAAAAGCAATACATAAATTAATGGCGCGTTGGGGCGCTCGTAATTAGCGGTGGGAAGAAATACATAGTGTCGGTGATATAAACTGCCGCGTTTCTCGGGCCCACATCTTCATAACATAACGCGTCTTTCACACTATCCTCCATTTGTATTTTGTATCTATCATCTAGAGAGACGTGGATTGCAAAAAACCTTCATAATTTAGTGAGCATATAATATGACTCTACAGTGAGTTATTATTATTACCTTTTTTTTGGTTAGAATAATAGAATGACGTATCTTATTTAAAATTTTAAATATGTAAGAAAGAAATAAATTCTTAATTTTTCTTCTTTTATAATTTAAATTCAAAATGGAAGTGGCCTCTAATATTATTCATTGATATTTCTCATATACCATTCAAAATGAATAGAGAGAACCCTAGCTTTGCCATCGGATAAGTATTATCCTTCCTTTTTAGTCTTTATTTTTTGTTTTTAATTTATTAAAAGAACAATTATATTCCTATTTTCTTCTAATATATATATTTTTAATATTTAGGCCCCCAACTAATTCAAGGGACTCGTGTAAGGCGTCTCTCCACATGGATCAAGCAAAGTTCGCACTATATCTGTAGATATGATCCCTTAAACAATTATTTACACTTACGAAGAATCGATCATTTTTACTTAATTATTCACGAGACACCAATCTTTTCTTCTAATTTATCCTACTCAGTTCTATTTTTTCCTTTCAATGTCACAATTATACCCTCAAGTTAAAATTTAGGACCAACAATAATGGTAACGAGTATGAGTGTGACTTGGGTGAGAACCCGAGTAACTCAAGTCCTCTAAAATAATTTACCAGTATTTTAGGAACGCACACTAATAAGTAGATATTTTGATTTATCCAATATATATATATACACACACACCAAATGCCTTTTAACTTAATATTATTTTTTCACCTTCTAAAGTAAATGATCTAATTTTCAAGTTCACACGTGGACAAAAGTGGACGAGTATGTTTTCCTCCTAGCTCCTACCCATAATTTACCAGATTTTTTTTATTCATAAACAAAATAAAATTATTTTTAAAAGGAAATAAATAATAATTATCTTAATTGTTAGAAAAAAAAAAAAAAAAATTCAAAATTCAACCGCGTAGAAACGCCTGTAATAAATAAAAAAAGTGTTGCAAGATTCATTTCACAACTACTAATTGAACTCTAAACCGAAGCTCTTATTATTTCCTCCATCTACTCTCTCGCCCTCTCTCTCCAATTTCACTATCGCCATAACTCTAGGGTTCATTTGTTCGTCATCATCCTTAACAAACCAGATTTCGAATTTCTTTTCGTTCAGATCTGGTTTTCGAGCGAGCAATCATGTTCACACACTGACATAATTGTAATGCTTAACTAATTTGCTTCTTCTTTCACTGTAAATTTTTTGAGAGACGGTGGTCGTCCTCAAAAAATGGTGATCTATGGACCTTTAAGCCCTGGTCAGGTATGTGATTTCGACGATGTCTATCGATTCATCGATCGTTTACATTAGTATAAATTGTTGTAATCATAAATTTGATGGCGGAATTGTAATTGCAGTTTGGTTTAGATGATTAAACTCATAGGTTGTTATTTATTTTTTCTGTTAACTATATTCATTTGGCTATGATTTAGTTTCGGTTTTTTGGTTGGAGATCATTTTATACGTAAGGTAATATATATGTATTTATTGATTATATGCTATGTAATTATCATTTGTAGTTCAGTCACAGTGGCATTGATACTATTATGAAACATTGTCTGCTGTCATTCTCAGGATTCTTTTTTGAAATTTAGAATTCCGAGTGTTTATATCTCATGCTTAAAAGTGATCATTCGTGCTTTGGATTGATGGTGAGGTTGTCAATTGTGTTGCTTTGGCTTAAGCAATGGCATGCAAAACTAGTGACAAATGTATGTCAGTCCATAATTACTGAAGGAGGCCTAGTCTTTGATTTCTATTCATTTTAATTTGCATCACATTTAGTAAACAGGGAGGCATTTGCCTAACAGTAACTTGTTACAAGGATTCATTCAGCTCTATTCATCTTAATTTGGATGACATCTCTAGTAAACAGGGAGGCATTTGCCTCACAGAAATTTGTTACAAGGATTGATGGGTTGGGCTGGGAAGGGGTGTCTTATCTTGAATGAACATATTACTATTTTTCCCATGGCAAATAACACACCCACATTGCACATCACATAAATTTGTTACAAGGATTGATGGATTAGGCCGGGAAGGGGTGTCTTCTCTTGGATGAATATATTATTATTTTTCCCATGGCAAATAACACCCACATTGCAACTTTGGAGACCCCTCAACCTTCAATTTGGAAACTAGCGGAGGTACCGCTAAGCTACAACCCTTGGTTAATTAATTTGTTATAAAGTAGTCCATCTTGGAATTATGTACATGGATCTAAATAGAGCAGATTGGAGAATTGGATTCACATGATCAAATTCGAGTAGTTGGATTAAGGCTTGTTGAGTTGAGTTGACAGTCCAACTACATGAATCCAAGGTAGTCAGTTGTGTTTTATTAGAGAGCGTCTAGAAGAACAAGTAGGGATTCTCAGGGTTAAGCTGTTGTTGTTGGATAATTTGTTTGGTTTGAATGTATACTGATTGATGGTTTTATTGTTAAGCTTGAAGGCTAGTGATCAGAATAAGAGATCATATAATTAAGATGCATGGTTTTAGTTGAGATTCTTGTGACTCCCAGTGGGATAGGAGAGTAGAGTGTCAGGCGGAGATTGCAGAGATTACTATTTTGGAGGAGATTTCGTGGCGCCAAAAATCTCGAGCTCTTTGGCTTAAGGAAGGAAACCGTAATACGAAGTTCTTTCACAGACTTGCCAATGCTCACAGAAGGGGCAATCACATTGGGAGGATTCGAGTGGACGGAATGGAGTTGTGTACGGAGGAGGGGGTGCGTAGGGGGATAGCTTCTTTTTACCTGAGGCTTTAGCTGTTACAGTGGAGACCCCGTCTTGATGGCCTTCATTTTGACTCAATTTCTACGATTGATAGGGATGGTTTGGAAAATCTCTTTTTAGAGGAAGAGGTGTTGAGGGCGCTGAAGAGTTGCAACGGTGATAAGGCTCCGGGTCCGGACGGATTTACTATGAGATTTTTGTTGGAAAGCTGGGAGGTGGTGAGACATGAGGTGATGGGTACCTTTTATGAGTTTCATTCTAATGGGAGGTTCGAAAAGTCGTTGAATGCATCTTTCATTGCTCTCATCCCTAAGAAAGGAGTTGTGTCCGATGTTAATAAGGACTTTAGACCAATAAGTATGTTGGGTTGCATTTATAAGCTTATTGCTAAAGTTCTCGCCTTGAGATTGAGGGAGGTTCTGGACGGTGTCATCTCAGAGTCTCAAAATGCATTTATTGGGCAGGCAACTTTGGATTCTGCTCTCATTGCCAGCGAATGTGTGGATTTTAGGTTAAGGAGCAGTGTTCCAGGAGTTCTGTGCAAGCTTGACATTGAGAAAGCATATGATCATGTTAGTTGGAATTTCCTGTTATATCTTCTGGGGAGGATGGGTTTTGGGGAGAGATGGAGGAAGTGGATCGAGACTTGTATTTCTTCTGTTAGATTCTCTGTACTGGTGAATGGGTCCCTATCTGGCTTTTTGGAAGCTCTCGAGGTTTGAGACAAGGGGATCCCCTTTCTCTCTTTCTATTCATTATTGTTATGGATGCCCTTAGCAGATTGATGAGGAGGGCAGTGGATTTGAGTTTTATCAGGGGATTCAGGATGGGCCCGGATTCAGGGCAGTAGATGGATATCTCTTATTTACTTTTTGGGACGATACTTTGGTTTTCTGTGATGCGGACGTGTCCCAACTTAGATATTTAAGGAGTGTGCTGGTCTGTTTTCAAGCAGTGTCAGGGTTGAAAGTTAATGTGGGTAAAAGTGTGATTGTCCTTGTCTGGGTGGTCTTGGTATTAGGAGGTTGATCCCCTTTAATAGGGCCCTCCTTGGGAAGTGGTTATGGAGATTTGGTTGTGAGATGCATCGATTATGGAGGAGGGTTATATCGTGTCGTTTTGGGGAGGAGAGAGGGGTTGGCCTTCCAAGCCGGTTAGATCTGCTGCTGGCGTGGGAGTGTGGAAGTTTATTCAAAAGGGGTGGGACGAGTTTTGGACGAGTTTTCTAAGCATATTATATTCAAAGTTCAGGAGGGTAGGGATGTCCGGTTCTGGGAGGATCATTGGTGTGGTGATTGCCCGTTGTCTCATTTGTTTCCAAGACTCTCTAGGATTGTTGTGGATAGACATGCTGTGGTAGCGGACTGTTATCGGCTTGATATTGGAAGGCTTACGTGGGATGTGCGTTTTCGGTGCTCTCTTCAGGATTGGGAACTTGATGATGTCCTTGGCTTGTTGGATCTTTTGTATAGACATGATTTGGACGGTAGAGGGTCTGATTCCTTGGTTTGGATGCCTTCCCCTCGGGGGAGGTTTGATGTTCGTTCTTTGTTCCTTCGTCTTGCTGGCTTTCATGGTTCAATTTTTCCGTGGAAAACGGTTTGGCGTTCGAAGGCCCTTCTCAGGGTGGCCTTTTTTGTTTGGATTGCGGCTTGGGGTAAGATTCTTACTTTGGACAATTTGAGAAAGAGAAGATAGATCACAGCAAACTGGTGTTGCATCTGTAAAAATGATGGAGAGTCTGTGGATCACCTTCTTTTACATTGTTCAGTGGCTTATGATTGCTGGAGTCTTATTTTTGGTCTCTTTGGCATCCATTGGGTTATGCCTCGGTCTTCAAGGGAGTTAATTGACGTTTGGAGGGGCTAGAGGGTGGGGGCCCATGCTCGTGACTGTTGGAGAGTGATCCCCCTTTGTGTTTGGTGGAGCATTTGGAAAGAGCGAAATAAAAGATCTTTTGATGGGGAGGAAACCTCCATTGGGGTGCTGAAATTCTCTATTATTAGTTCTCTTTATAGTTGGGTGAAGGGGAGAAATTGTATATCTTTAGATGATATTGTGGACTTTTTTCTTTGGGTCCATAGGGTTTTATTTTGGTTTGGTTCTTTGTTTTTTTCTTGGGATGCGTTCCCCTTTTGAACGATTTCTAATACATTTTATTTATAAAAAAAGAAGATAATTAAGATATATAAGACATTAGTGTTTTCTTTGTTGTTCAAACATACTGCTATTTTTTATTTTTATGGGAATTATTCAGAATCATGATTACAATATTTGTTTGATAATTATGTACTATTAATATATATCTGACTCAGTGCTCTTTCTTTTCTAATTTTCTTAGTCATAAATAGCTTTTCTCTTCTTTCATTTGAAGTTTACTTAATGTACATTTGTTTATATCTGATGCACCTTGAACCATGAGATTTCTCTCTCTCTCTCTTGCTTGCTCCCTCTCCACACATAAGCATTTGAGTTGCATTTGTTAGAGAATGCATGGTCATGAGTTCAACTTTCACCGCCACCCAATAACTATTATTGGCACATGTGTTGGACCAAAAAATTGGCTACACCTGAGGGGTTGTGTTAGAGCATATAAATATTTAAGTTACACTCTCCAACAACTTAAACTTTGAGAGTGGGTTAGAAAATATAAATATTTTAAGAGAGTGGATTAGAAAATATAAATACTTAAGCTAGACTTTCTCTAATAGTTTAAGTGTTTAAAGTAGATGATATTGGACAAAAAATCTGGCTACACATGAGGGAACGTCTTAGAGAATATAAACACTTAAGTTAAACCTTAAATAATAGCTTAAGCTCAAGTATAATATAAGTATTTATATTCTCTAACGGCATTTTTCTTATGGTGTTTTGTATCCCCATGCTTTTATGAACTCAGTCATAAGGTAATATATGCTTAACAAATTTCGTGCATTTACTGATTGCAGGTGTCATTTATCCTTGGGATTATTCCTATATTTTCTGCTTGGATATATTCAGAGTTTTTGGAGTACAAGAAAAACTCAGTCCCATCCAAATTGTGAGTTAGATGGTTGTTCTACTCTAAAAAATATGTATTGCCCGTGCAGAACTTTTTCCCTTACGAGGAAAATGATCATATTTTATGCTAGCAAGTCACAAATTTGAACTTTAAAGTATTTATACACTGGGATCTGTCTGTATTACAAAGTCTTCTAATAGCCTGCCTCTCTAAAAGATAATTCTGAAAATTCATGATAATTTGAACACTTCTTACATACTATTTCGATATCATCATCATTCTAGAAATTTCTTATTATGACAATTAAAATAGTTTTGAGTGATAAAGGAGGAATATCACGTGTTCTGTTCTCATTCGAACTTTCCAGAGAAGAGTGGAAGACAAAAGGTTATTAATTTGTAATTTGATCAACGATACAAAATTTATCTTCAAAACTGCACTAGTGTGATTCCTGAATTGTTCCTTTTTACGAAAAATTCTGTGATTGCTAGTGACACTGATATACTTTTAATCTATTTATTTGTGTATATAAATTTAAATAAAAGTGGAATAATTTTTTATTTTTTCTGAGATATGATAACATAATCAGAAATTTTACAAGAGATCATGTTCAAATTCATTGATATTTCCATTAAAAGATACAAAATGATTTGAAACATATATGGGTAGAAAATTCCATTAGATTGTAGTCTCGTGAAGCCTGTAATAAGTACAGAATTCAAAGTCAATGATCATTAAAATATTCAGAACCCAATGAATTGCATAAATTTGAACAAATAAAGAGTGATCCAGTTGGTAGTTGAGGTGCTTAAATAATTCTAGAAATGTGTCACTTTTATCTTTCCCCCCCCCCCCCCCCCCCAACCAGCAGGGAATGTGTTTATTCTGTATTTTTTGTTTTCCGAAGCCAGACGTGTTATTCTTCCCTTCATTTTTCTAATTTCAATTTGTATATTTTACTTGCAGGCACTCCAATATCAAATTAGTTGAGTTGGGAAATGGAACAGTTAAGGAAGATGATAAAGCTGTTTTATTGGAAGGGGGAGGTCTCCAGTCAGTGTCTCCTAGAGTTCGGAGTTCAAATATGACATCTCAGATTGTCAGGTTTGTAATAGACAGCTTTTGGCTTCTTTAATTATTTAAAATTGACTAAGTTAGAACACTTATTAGTTCTGCATCTTTTCAGATTTTTGCTGATGGATGAGTCTTTCTTGCTTGAAAACCGATTGACACTGAGAGCCATGTGAGTATATTCATTATCAAAATATGCAATAATAAATTTTTAGTAATTTGAAGGACAAAGGATCAGAATGCTGACTTTCTTATTTTTCTTCTTCCTTCCGTACCTCTTTTTGTCGCCTTTCAGATCAGAATTTGGTGCGCTTTTGATTTACTTTTACTTATGTGACCGTACAAATCTCATCGGCGAATCAAAGAAGGTGCTTCCAATGACCTTATTTATACTTCTAATTCCTTATTGTGGTTGTTCATCATTGTCTTTTGTGACTCATGTGGAAGACCAGTTTTAAATTTTAGAGGGAAGTTCAATATGTAAAAGAATCTACAAATTTAGATTCTTTTCCAGTTTGACTAATGTTTTCATCGTTTGAATTTCATGTGAAATCAAAATATAGTCCTGGCGTGACATATGGATATTGTTAAATTTTGTATTGTAGGAAGAAATGAAGAATTTTTTTTTTTTTTTGACATTAGCGATTTCTCATTTTTATGCTGCCTAATTCCAACTACTTTAATGTATTGGAACAATATATCTTAAAGATGAACACACTGCTTCGTATTAAGTAAATAAGTGTCAAACAATTGTTCGTCACACCCAAAATGTCCATTTGCTTGTACCATTCTTTGGTTTGACCTCATACTATCTTGAAAGCATTTTACATTTTCAAATTTGAAACAGATTCATAGTGAAATCTTTCTACCTACTTTGTTATATTAAATTGTATGTACTAACAGGACAATAGTTCTTAACTTAACTTGGAATGTGATTTACGAGTTAGAATTTTTTATTTAACCCTCATATTATCATTTATTGTTAGGTTAGCAGGACTTGGGTCGGCATATTTCGTGATCAAAACTAGAGTCTGTAATTTTTTATATTTAGATAGATTTTTGAAAGCTAGTTAGTGTAAAGTTAGTTACCTCTTGTCCAAAGGCAAAATTGGATGAAGCTACAACCAAGGGCAGAATGGTATTCTTCGAGTATAAAGCATCTTTGATTATAAAGGTATTTTCACATTACTATATGCCCTCACCAAATTAAGGTTCGTGCATTTATGCATTATGGTTTTAATATTTCATTTTGGTGTGGAAAAATCCTAATTGAATTGCATAAAATTGTTTTTAGAAATAGTTGATTCAAAATTTTTGAAGTATAGAAGACAGGGCATGGGATTCATGTCGAATGATCGAACTTTCCGGAAAGCTAGTTTCCTTTCAAACTGAAACTCTAAAACCCTATTCTCTCTACTACTCTGTTTTGTCTATAAACACCTTATATCTCAGAATACCAAAGAGACACGTTAGAGAGCTTCACAGAGCACTATTGTGATATTAAAGTGTGTGTGTGTGTATATATATCTATATTATTTTCATTCATCATTCTGCATTAGGTTGTTGAGTGATATATATGAGTGTTGACAACTTATTGCTGGTGCGCTAAATTGAAGATCAACACTAACTTCTCAATCATCCGAGATTGGTTGGATGACTTGGCTGGGGATCAAAGTGCTATTGAAGAAGCAGATTGTAAAATCTGTTGACGAAGTGAACTGTGTGCCTGGAAGCTCTGAGTGTGAGTTTGGGGTATCAGTTTGTGTCAAGAGGTAAATATATATATATATATATATATATATATATATATATATATATATATATATCTATATATAAACCGTTTGTGTCAAGTGGTAATTAGGAGTTGGGGGCATTTGAATTGCTAACCCAGTGTAATATCTCTTTGGTTTAGTGAATTTGATTTGACTGGACCAGGTCTCATGGTTTCTTCCTTTGAGGTTTTCCACGTAAAAAATTCCGTGCACATTGCACTTGCTTTTACTTTACTTTATATTGCTTATGGATCTTGTGCATACTCTCTGTCAGAGCCTAAGGATTCGGTCCTTACCCTATCATTAATTCTTCTTCTCACCCATGGCTAGCCCCATAGATGATATTTCAGTTTATTTAGTCATTTTGATGACTTATGAGGATTACATAGGGTGTCAATCACATTCCATGCCTTCCTGGTAAAGTACAATTATATATAATTTCTGCTGCAGCAGTTGGGTTGGAGAGGTTGTATAGCAGGGGCCCAAGTTCATGATTTCTGGAGGGTTGCGCCATTGTGCGTCTGGTGGTGTTTATGGCTTGAAAGAAATAGGAGATCCTTGAAGGAAAGGAGAATCCTATTGGGACGTTGAAGTTCTCCATTATTAGCATGCTTTTTTGTTGGGTTCTAGGGAAAAATTGTAAATCCATTTAGGAGTTTGTAGATTTTTTGGAGTCGTTGAGGGTTTAGAGGCTCTATTTGGCCTTGTGTAGCTTTTGAGGGATGCTTTCCCCCTTTTGAACGCTTTTTATACAATTATTACTTATCAAAAATATATATGCTAATTTATGTCCATTATTAAAATTTATTTCAAATATTATCGTATTATTTGTTTCTCAATATCTCTTTTGAATAGTTTGTTTTTCAAAATTCATGAATCAACTGGAGTTTATTCTCCATTTTCATCCATTTGCTCAGATTTACATAGTTGTCTCCAAAACTTGCATGAATTGCAGATAAGGTGCTTGTTTGATGTACTTTAAGCTGTGATGCCGTTGAATATTAACTTGATCGGTGATAATGTTGTACCTTCTAATTAGTTTGTCGCTTAATCCTCATCTGTGTGTGCAGAGTTACAGTCGCGATCTTTTCATATTTCTCTACTTCCTTCTCATCATAGTTTCGGCAATTACTTCTTTCAAGATCCATCACGATAAGTCAACATTCTCAGGGAAATCAATACTCTATCTAAACAGGCATCAGACTGAGGAGTGGAGAGGTTGGATGCAGGTTAGTCAGTTCTTACGATGATGTATCGAATTCTTGGAATTTCTTTCTCTAATTTTGTTGTTACTGCTAAGGTGAATATTGGAGTTTAATCAGATATAGTTGTTATTGTGGTCAAATGTAAAATCTATACTATATAAAAGAGAGATCTTTTTTCTGGCATTGCCTTCATTTTTCAGAAAATGCCATTAAGCATGCTTACGATCTTAAGCATAAGTGCGAAATTCAACATAATTCAAATTATTCCACATCACTGACAATTCTCTGCAAATATTGTTGACAACTTCTTTACTTGTCAAAAAAAAAAAAAATTGTTGACAACTTCTCACAAAAATCTAAAGGAAATTATTGCTAACTTAGATAAGTAGGAAAAAAAACTGAGGTAGGGAGATACTATTAGATTAGCCATCTAGATGGACAAGAAAGGAACACATTCTATAATATGAGTATGACTAAAATGCATATCTAAATAGTGGTGTTTGGTAAGATATTAAAAAGGAACACATTCATGAGACAGTGGAAGTAACACTTCTCTTAGTGGAGTGGCTTAGTCATGTAGTAAAGATCAATTATGCACCAGTTTGGAATAGTGACATGGTACATATTGAAGGTAATACTAGGAGAAGAGGATGGCCAATGTTGATGTGGAGATACGATCATAAGATGGAATACATGGTTGGTAGTTGTAGTTTATTAGAAACTATGGTCTTAAATAGAGTGGGATGCCGAAATAGGATTCATTTGACCAATCTCAAACAATTGTAGTAAGTTTTATGCGTTGATTTGAGGAAAGAAATGCTAAATATTATTTGAAATAGGGAGCATGCGCGGATGTGTGCACTTATGCTTAAAGGGATGGTTTCGATCTTTTTGGAGTGATGTCTTTAAACTATTGGTGATTTTATCATTTTGTTTATTTTTCCGGGTACTTCTCGCTTGCTTCTGATTTTTCATCTAACATTTTTCTCAGTTCTAAGCTATTCCAGTATCATGATTCCAAGATTCTGAATTTATTACTAGATTTAAATGCTAGGGTGATTATTAATATTCATGTTAAATGGCATACAAAAATCTGATGGCCTAGTAGGTCTACAATTGTGTAGAAGTAGTTTTTCTTGTATGGAGAACTAAAACTCAATGTTTATTAAAGAAGTTTTAGAAAATTTCCAAACTGTTGGGAACCAATTTAACCTGGAGAGAAGTGAAAGAACAATATATAGATAAAGGGTTTGTCATATCACTCTTATTTGGTGATAAAATTTCTGTTAAGTCACTGGCTATCATGTGTTTTTTGACGAGTCACAACATGAAACCATGTTGTCTTCTCTTTTTTTTTTTGACTTTTACGTTGCAAGAATTGTATTTAACCACCTTGAATTCTATTGCCTACACAATGCCTCAGAAATTTTGGTTAGCTACTTTATGTTGGCACCATATATAAGATGAAGGCCAAATTCATTATCACAGAATTTGGATGATTTATAAACTGCCGTTCACTGTGGGCAGATATGCATGATTCAACCATTTAATGCTGGTGTAGCTTCTTTGTCAAGCCATAAACTCTAGCTCCTTTTACTTGTGACATGATACATGCACATGCTCATAAAAGGACCAGTTAGGCTGCATATAACTATTGTTGTTGCATTGCCATGCCATAAAAACTAGGAAGCACGGACACTCCAAAATGAGCGAAGAATCCGTGTCCGACACGTGTCGGACACGGACACGCCCCGACATGTGTCGGACACGCCAAAAAATGTGTTTGGAATTTTTTATTTTTTTTGAATTTTTGGACACGGCACGGACACGGCTCGGACACGGTACGGACACTCCGCGGACACGGACACGGACACGGACACTTCTGGAAATTTTTTTTTTTGAATGGTGATATGTTCCTTTTTTTTGTTTTGTACTACCCTTTTGGTATTGTAAATGGTAAAAGCCCTAGGTCAAATGATAGATGGGAATAGATGATAGTACACTGACTTGCTTTTGTATCTTTTTTGGGGACTAGCCTTTAGGTTTTTGTGAATGTTAAGTGCTAACAGTAAAGTCCTGAATGTTAAACAGTCATGAATGTTAATGGTCCTTTCTGTCTATGCTTTTGTATTTGGAGTAAAGTTGCAATGATGATTAAATGATACTAGTTATTATTCTAATGTCTTGTTTTTTATTTGGTTTTATAACTCTGCAACATTGTTCTTTTATAGTTTACTAGTTATGAGTTATGATTTGTGTTTTTTTCATTATGAGGTTGATGAAAAATAGTAATACTCAGTAATTTTTAAAGTACTACATCATATATATATATATATATATATATATATATATATACTATTCACCGTGTCCCTGCCGTGTCCGTGTCCTATTTTTTTGGATTTGCCGTGTCGCCGTGTCAGTGTCGTGTCGTATCCGTGTCCCGTATCCGTGTCCGTGCTTCTTAGCATAAACATAAATGGTTTCTTTTTATCGATATGTAGTTAAGTGTGAACCATTGTGTATCCTCCATATGAATTGTGTCTTTTTATTGACAGGTAGTTAAGTGTGAACCATTGTGTCCCCTCCATATGATTGTGTCTTACACTCTTTTCTTTTATGTACAGGTATTATTTTTAATGTACCATTACTTTGCTGCAACAGAAATTTATAATGCAATACGAATTTTTATTGCTGCCTATGTGTGGATGACTGGATTTGGGAACTTCTCATATTATTATATTCGCAAAGATTTCAGCCTTGCTAGGTTTGCTCAGGTATGTAGTCTCCTAGGAAAATGATTTCCAATCCAAGTTCTCTTCATACTACTCCACTTCTGATTGTGTTAATTTCTTATTTGACAGATGATGTGGCGGCTTAACTTTTTAGTGTTATTTTGCTGCATCGTTCTTAACAACAGTTACATGCTATACTACATATGCCCCATGCACACTCTTTTTACTCTAATGGTCTATGGGGCACTTGGTATTTTTAACAAATATAATGAGATTGGGAGTGTCATGGCTGCAAAAATCATTGCCTGCTTTTTAGTGGTCATTCTGATGTGGGAAGTACCTGGAGTTTTTGACCTGGTTTGGGGACCGTTTATTTTCCTTCTTGGTAAGCAACTGAATATAGTTTTTCTTTTTATTTTCTTCTCTACATTACCCAATTAGCCTTGAGCATTACTAAATTCTAAACACGGCAATATATATAAATTGCATTGCAGGATATAGTGACCCAGATCCTTCAAAACCAAAATTTCCCGTCTTGCATGAGTGGCAATTCCGCTCAGGACTTGATCGATACATATGGATAATTGGAATGATATATGCTTACTTTCACCCAACGGTAAGTTTCTGTATGATATTTCAATTATTCTGAGGCATAGGCCTGCTTGGTTTGTAACTATGGAAATAGTTTTTTGTTCTTAGAAAACTGAAAACAAAACATTGTACAAAAAATTTTGCTTGGTTCGGTTTTTTGAAAACTCAGCTATAAAAATGTCTGTTTTAGAGAACTATAATTGATTGTTTTCTGAGAACAATTTTCTGTTTTCTAAATTCTTGAGAACTGTTTTCTCAGTTACAAACCAAGCGGGCCCATAATTTATATATAGTTCTTGTTTCTATTTTTTTTTAATAGGTGAGACTGAATTTTAATTATCTGATAGCCCCCCTCCCCCAAATCTTAAGTCCATGGCTAAATTGTTAGCATTTGTTACCGTAGGTTGAGAGGTGGATGGAGAAACTGGAGGAAGCAGAAATGAAACGTAGGATTTTAATCAAGACAACTGCTGTGATTATTTCCTTGACGGTGTTATATCTATCTGAGCCAGATCTTTTCCCCTTAATTTATGTGTCTGATGAAATTATTTATTTATTTATGTTGTTTTATTTTTGTAACTTTCAGATGGGATATTTGTGGTTTGAGTATGTATACAAACTTCCCAAGGTTACATACAACAAGTACCATCCTTACACGTCATGGATCCCCATAACGTAAGCATATCCATTTCCCCTACTGCTGTGCTATTATAAATAATGAAAACCTTTTTTTGCTTGTGGTTTAAGTAGAATTTATTTTTTTGTTGATCAGTGTCTACATATGCTTGCGAAATGTCACCCAGCACTTCCGTAGCTACTCCTTGACCCTATTTGCGTGAGTGGCCTTGGATCTGATTCATTATTTTCTTAAATTCTTTTCCTCTATGCTTCAGATATCATCGCAGGATAAGATAAAGAGAGTTTGTTTATATGTTGGAATACATATGTTTTGAACATTTTTTATGGTATGTTCTCTTTCCTTCTATAGATGGCTTGGAAAGATCACATTGGAGACCTACATCTCACAGATCCATATATGGTTGAGGTATGATTACATAAGCTGGTGCACTTGTCAAAATAATAATAATAATATTAATAATAGTATTGACTGCATAAGCTGGTACTTCCATTGATTTGCAAATGCAGCAATGATATTTACAAAATAGTTCCGTAAAATTCCTTTGATTGGAGGTCGCATTCCACTCTATTGGCTTCTTGTTTTTTTAAATCCTAAGCAGAATGTTAAAATTATGCAGATCAGGGGTGCCCGATGGTCAGCCTAAATTGTTGCTTTCTTTGATCCCAGACTACCCTATGTTGAACTTCATGCTCACCACTTCCATATATATTGCTGTAAGTAAACCATGTCACTTCCGGAAATCTACGTGAAATTCAAGTGATTAATGTCGTTTCATTGCTTGCAGGTTTCCTACAGGCTCTTTGATTTGACGAGTAGGTTGAAAACAGCGTTCGTGCCAAGTAAAGACGATAAACGGCTGATGCACAACATAATCACAGTGGTAGCAATCTTGAGTGTTTTGTACACTTTGTCTTTTATACTCTTAAAGATCCCACAGGTGCTGGTAAGAATTCTCGTCAAATCATCTGAATTTATCTGATTGTGAAAATTTTCATGTGAGGGGGGTTAGGTGGTATAAAATGCAAGAACATGCACTTCCCTTGTATTGAATAGACAAATGGCTAACATTACTCCCAATCTCCTTTTTACTATTTTGGTATTTTAACAAGTGATAAAACTAGCTACATCGGCTCGTATAAATGAGTGAAGTACCCATGCCAATACATGGACACTAGGATATGGGTATGAAATATATTTTGACAAGATTGGTAGGATATGCAACTAGCGAAACATCTTACAGTCAAAAAATTATGAATATTTAGTATCCTTAATTTCATAAATCCTACAAATTGCACATATATATACCTGAAAGAGGTATTGACCCCATGGAAAATGAGTAGTATACAACTTGATCCTATAGGGATGCTAGTATACAGACTTGAGATTAGGGAGGCGGGAGCTATACCTACCAAAAAAAAGTTTACTTTGGTAAGCGTACGAAGATCTATTTCCTCTGGAAACTGCTCAAACTGAGAAGAAAGCGCTCGAACTGACTTTATCCATCGTGATGAAGAAAGGAAGATTTGCAAGAAAAGAAAAATGATCCTCTTTCACTAGAGAATTTTATTATTCATAACTAAAGTACACACATTAAAGAAATACCCTAAATAAGGGCGTATATTGAGCGGGAATCATGACTCCCCACCTGAATGCACTTGATTCACTCCCAAATTGCATGGAAAATGTCTCCTAATGACAATCACTCCGTTTCATCCGAGTAACCAATTTTCTTTTTTTGGTATTAACCATCTTCAGCTGTGATTATGTTGTACCTAGTCTCCTCATGCTTTTGATCCACTTGAAATCAACAGGGGTGATATTTCGGAAATGTATAGCAATGGAAAATCGAATTTTGTCCTCGAGATGTCCACTTTAAACGTGTATGAAGCACGGAGGCTCTTACCACAGCGCGGTGCAAATGGTATAGAAATGGCGGTTTGCCATTATAGGTATTAATTTTGGGCACAAATTTTTGTATAGAAGAAGGTGGCTGATGAACTTTAACCTCTGAGTGCAAGGTTTGTACCATGTGTTGTCATTATTTTTGTACGACTAAAGCGAGTAAAAGATTCAACCTCTAATTGAGGTACTATCATGTTTTGCGATATTTTTTTATTTATTTTTATTTTTATTTTTATTTTATATTGTTGTTTGTACTCCGGGGTCATCCCTTAAATGTGGTAGGGCCACTCCGGGGTATTTAAGAACTTGGGCTAAATTTTGCTTTAAAATTATTTTAAAAGATTATAAAAGTAAATATATAATTTTGAAACATACTCCCAATACTCATGTGACCAATCTCATTTATACATGATAAAGATAAAGACAATGATTCTGACATATATTTCTAAAATTATCTTTTCTTTTACAAAAATGAAACACAAATTTCCCTTTATCTTTGTATACTCTATTGTGATAATAATTAGGGAGATCTTTGGCATTACGTTGTGTCCAATTATTCCAGCTCTGCTCTAAATATACAAATCTTGATGATTTTCTTTCTTTTATTCTCTTTTTTTGAAAAAGCGTAAATATATAGATTAAGATGGGGATAAGTGATGTAAGTAACGAAGATCCCATTTTATAAATGTAGCAAGTCAAAACCCAAACTAAAAGATAATTAACATTTGTATTAAATCTCAAAATATAGAATGCTTCACACCAGAACACTACCATTCACGTAAAACTTTTTACACAAAAAGAGCTTTTACCTCCTTGTTTTGATGTATACTTGGAAGTTCCAAAATCAATTTAACAAATCTTAAAAAGTACATTTGAATGTGATGTTTTTGTATTTTATACATCCATAAAACACAGATTTTTGTATTCATTCATGTACAGCGCATATATGAATATATATTCATGTTTGAATACATAATAGATAAACATTACATGCAAGTTGAAATGTGTACAGGCATATATATGATAATATTCATATAGATGCAGTGTACTCTTATTATATTTCATTGTCAAGTTCATGTTATATGTTTGGACATAATTTGATTGTAATTCAAAATATGATATCCTCAAAAAGGAATTGTCGAAAATTTCTGTAGAACATTTTATAGATAACCAAATGTTTGAAAATGTCCAGCAATATTTTTGACATCCAAGCAATAAAATACGTAACTTCGTTACTGAAAGTTAAAACAGATCCTGAAAAAGCACTAACATCTACAAAAACAAATTAGAATTATAACTTCACCATCAGGCATCATTTAAGAGTCGTGATCCAACATCTATGTGTACTTTATATGCAAAAGACGGAGGAGAGATTACTTGAGCTAGGTGGTCCAAATTCATTGCCAATGAAATTCAAATTACTGGGATGAATTTGGAGGGCACTAGATTATCCTTGCTCCACAAACCTAACGATCATTTTAAGACTTCGACGAAAATTTCAGCACCCCAATTGTTTTAACACGGAATACAAACTACCAAAAACTTCGGTGTCTTGATCATGTACTTTTAGCAAGAGTCAGATATTCGGTTAACCAACTTGGTGCTACTCCAACCATCTCCCGAAGGTGATCATTTCTAATCTTATCCTTTCTAGCCTTACTGTACATCCATCCCAACATTTGCATACTCAATTTATGCAAATGTTGTTTCCTATGTGCCCTACATTCGGTACCATAAAGTATGACTGGTCTAATAGATGTTGCATAGAAATTCTCTTTCAATCACAAGGGGATACACCTACAATTTCTCCCTCATTATGAATAACTTATCCATTTTTCTTTAATAATATCGTCTTCTACTAAATTCCGTGAATTTTCACTCTTAATATATTTAATATGGCTAAAATCTCTAGTTTTCCTCTCCCTTAGCTTAGCAAGTTTATATATATTCTTCTCCCCATCTTTGATTCCTAGTTTAGCATAGAAATCTTCATATGCTCTATCTACTTTATTAACTCTTTATTTAATTCCTTATATTTGTCAAAGGTTTCACTATTTTTAGTTGTTGAGAGAGAGAGAGAGAGAGAGAGAGAGAGAATATATGAAAACGTATATCTTATTGAGCGAGTAATACAATAATACAATGGTGTTTATATAGGAGAGGATACGGGAGTAGGTGAGTGGAGAACAAGTAAACCCTTACATGGTAATTCTATATATGATAATAAGGGGTAGGTGACAACTCATACAATACTAACTGTACACGTGTGAATATTGTACAACGTAACAACTCATACAATACTGTACAACACTCCCCCTCAAGCTGGAGAGTAAATGTCAATAACTCCCAGCTTGCTACATATGGAATCAATAGAGTTCTTGGGAAGCGCCTTAGTGAAGATGTCTACCAGCTCCCTACTAGAAGGAACAAAAGGTGTAACAATCTCATTTGAGTCAACTTTAGATTGAATAAAATGGCAATCTATTTCAATGTGTTTAGTTATCTCATAGTAGACTGGATTGCTAGCAATATGAATAGCTACTTGATTGTCACAATGAAGAGTAATTGGGTACTGGACTGAAATCTCAAGTTCCTGTAAAAGAGTTTTCAACCAAGAAAGTTCACAAGCAGTGTGTGCCATGGCATGATACTCTGCTTCAGCACTGGACCGAGCCACAACTGACTGTTTCTTACTCCTTCAAGTTACTAGATTTCTTCCTATGAAGGTGCAGTAACCCGTGGTGGATTGTCGATCAGAAGGAGAACTGGCCCAATTTGCATCTGTGTATCCCTCAATCCGAAGATGTCCAGAAGATCGATAAAGCAAACCACGTCCCGGAACACCCTTGAGAGACTTCAAAAGGCGTACAACTGCCACCATGTGAGGTACCCAAGGACTGGTCATAAACTGGCTCACAACATTGACTGCATAGGAGATGTCTGGACGAGTGATTGTGAGGTAAATAAGTTTACCTACAAGTCTTCGATACATTTCTGGATCATCGAGTGGATCACCATCATCCACCTTAAGTTTTACATTAGTCTCCATGGGGTGTAGCTACAGGTTTCGAACCAAGATATCCAGTATCCTATAAGAGAGATTAAGAGTATGCTTCCGCTGAGAAAGACTAGTGCCTTGCTTCGACCGAGCCACCTCAATTCCTAGAAAATACCGAAGTTTGCCCAAATCCTTAGTAAGGAAGCTAGAACTAAAGTGATGGATTAGAACTTGTATCCCATCTTTGTCATTGCCGGTGATAACGATATCATCTACATACACCACAAGAATCACAATGCCACATTTCGTTTTCTTAAAAAATAGAGAGTCGTCAGCCTGGCTTCTGGTCATACCATGAGCTACCACTACTTTACTGAACTTATCAAACTATGCACGAGAGGACTGTTTGAGGCCATAGATAGACTTCTTGAGATGGCACACAAACTCCCTCCTTTTTTTGATAAGTAATAATGAATTAAAAAAGGCGTTCAAAAGGGGAACACGTCCTATTAACAAAAGAGGAACCGGGGTCTAAGGCCCCAAAGAATTCAAAAAAGTAATTAAATCAATAGAAGAGGAACCAGAACTCCTCTTCACATAACATCAGAGAGAACGAATAATAACAAGTTTCAGTGTCGCTGTAAACGACTCATTCCCATCAAATATTCTACTATTTCTCTTCTTCCAGATGCACCACCAAACACAATGTGGGACAGATCTCCAATAATCACGTACACCCCTACTCACACAACATCTTCTCCAGGCATGAATCAATTCCTTAGTAGAACGTGGCATTACCCAACACATGCCAAATAAACCAATAATAAGATTCTAGCAATCGTGCGCCACTAAGAAATGCATTAGGAGATGATTAACTGACTCCCCATTTTGCTTGCATAGGCAACACAGATTAACAAAACAATTTCCCCTCTTCCTCAAATTATCAATCGTCAAAATCTTACTCCGAACAACGGTCCATACAAAGAATGCCACCCTAGTATATGCCACCCTAGTAGGAGCGATAGAGCACCAAACGATCTTCCATGGGAAATCAGAGGTTACAAAATTAGACAGACATAAGAATAAAGATCTTACTTCAAAGCGACCGTGAGAAGAGAGAATCCATGTCAAATTGTGATAACCCCTGTCAATTCCTTCCTGTCGATACAATTAGTCCAAAAAAATGCTCACCTCGTCCAACTCCCAGTCCTGAAATGAACCCCGAAAATGAACATTCCACATAATCCCACTATTAACAAGCCGATAACAATCAACTACGAAGGCATGTTTATCAACTGCAATACTATATAATATGGGAAATGTATGAAATAAAGGCTGATCCCCACACCAAAGATCTTCCAAAAAACGGATGCAACTACCATCACGAACTTTGAATCTGATATGAGAGGGAAAGGCATCAAATCCCTTCCGAATGGATTTCCATGCCCCAACTCCTCCCGCAATAGAAACCGGGCGTGTAGTCCAACCGCCAATATCTTCCCCATACTAACAAAAGACTAATCTACGCCAAGGACGGTGTCTTTCCTTCCCGTATCCCAACAACCATTTTCCTAGGAGAGCTTGATTAAAAGGAATCAATCATCTAATACCAAGACCACCCAACTTCATAGGTTTGCATACTTGCTCCCATCTGACAAGGTGATACTTGAACTCTTCTTCCCTTCTGCCCTAAAGGAAATTCCTTTAAATTTTTTCAATTCTATCAGCAACGGATCATGGAACTTAGAACATAGATAGAAAATATGTGGGAAGGCTTGATAAAGTGCTCTTGATAAGAGTTACTTTGCCCCCCTTAGACAAATATTGCTTCTTCCATCCTGCCAACCTCTTTTCATACCTGTCAATCACAGAATCCCAACTCCCCACTATCCTGGAAAAGACCCCAACCCAAATAAGGAATAGGAAAGGAACTCAACCTACACCCAAGTACTGCAGCTAAAGAAGAGATATCTTGAACATTCCCAACCGGGACAAGTACACTCTTAGCCACGTTTACCTTTAGCCCGGAGATCGCCTGAAAACAAGCCAGGATGTACCTCAGGTATCTAAGTTGAGACAAATCTGCATCACAGAAAATCAGGGTGTCATCTGCAAATAGCAAATGAGAAATCTCCACCTGATGGTCTATATCTCTTCCCACCCGGAATCCCTTAATGAGACTAAGATCCTCTGCCTTGCGCATAAGTCTGCTTAAGCCCTCCATAACAATAAGAAAGAGGAA